ATGTAAAGGTTGGTTTTACCAAAATATTCCTGGGCTTTATCATGTTTCCCAAAAACCTAACTTAATTTTTTGCTATGTAAATTCCTTGCTTTTCAAGTTCCTATAATATCATCATCTTTGCTTGATTCCCCTTCTCCATTTGTTAACTGATATAAGGCTGAGGGTGATCTAAGGATTCACCAAGTCCTACAGCTCTTGGGTGATGTGTAATTTCAAGTTGGCAATCATTTTTATTTGCATTGTATTACCCTGATGCTTACCACATTTATTCATTAGCCAGAAATTGACTACCAAAGATGTTGATGGGACTGGTGAGGATAAGCAGGAAGGAATGAATCAGTACTGACTCATTTTTTAAGTGGCCAGCGTATTAGCAAGATTTTTGTGTTATGATTTTTGCTTTCCTACGCAGCCTTGTGACTATGGACACATGGAAAATGAAAACTCAGCCAACAGGGCTCACAGTTCAAAGGATGGGGTAAGGATTAAATAAAACAATGCCTGTAAAGTTCTTCGCAGAATGTTTGGAATGAATCCCAAAAGAAGTTTAAAAAGGTAGCTATTGCTATTTCGGTCTCCCGCCTCCGCCGCAGCGAGAGGAGCTGCCTCCACATCTGCAATGGATGGTCATTCGGAACCGCTCCAGCTTCCTGATCCAGAGGAAGACGTACAAAACTGAACCCAATAATCTGAAGGCCCTCAACTGACTCCCTGCGCTCTACCGGCCTGACTCGCTTAAGACAGCGGGTCATCATGAAGCAGAGATCGGGCTTTCTGCGAACGTGCGGACCACCGCTGCCAGGAATGCGGGGCCGCCAGAACAGCATTCAGCACGGGATCCATAAGAACATGGATCCGGCCTGGCAGCCGGCTCGGCTCAGCGCAGCCGCAGGGCCAGCGCCATCCTGTGCAGCCAGAACCCCCTGATGGTGAAGAGGAAGTGGGCTGCCCCACCAAGAGCGCCTGAGCCCCCCCCCCCCCCCCCCCCCCCGCCCCCCGAACAATAAAGGAAGCAGCCAACTTTCCTTAAAAACTGAAGGGCAATGAAGACAGATATCAGAATATTTCATGGATTGTTTGAAGAATATCAATCCCCAAAAAGACACAAAAAGCCCTACAACAGCCATGTATAAAAATATGGGATGGGATGGGAAACTGCGTATAAAACTATAGAATCTACCCAGTCCCTGGGACTTTCGGTCATTTAGTGGTAACGCCCACAGTACATTTCTTTGGCTCTCTTAAATATCTGCCACTTTCCATCACGTCCTACAGTTACGTCTTCGGCAAATGTTTACTTAGCCTCTGTTTCAGCCACTACATGTATTTTCCCATATATATATATATATATATATATATATATATATATATATATATATATATATATATATATTATTGCAGAGAGGAAGGGAGAGGGAGAGAAACATCAATGATGAGAGAATCATTGCTCGATCAGCTGCCTCCTAAAGGGGATCAAGCCCTGACCGGAATCGAACCTGGGACCCTTCAGTCCGCAGGTCGACACTCTTCATTGAGCCAAACCAGCTAGAGCTTTTCTTCTTCTTTTTAATGTTTTTATTTATTTTTAGAGAGAGAGGGATAGAGAGGTAGAAACATCAAAGAGAAACATTGATCGGATGCCTCCTGCATGTCCCCTACTGGGGATGGAGCCCTCAACCTAGGCATGTGTCCTGACTGGATCTGCACATGGCTGCCCGTGACCTATTGGTTCGTGGGTCGACACTCAACCACTGAGCCACACCGGCTGGGCTACATGTATTTTCTTACTTAATTTTCACTATACACTCCTCATTTTACAGAGGAATACACCAAGCGGCAAAGGTTAAAAAAAGTCTGTCTTTCGGACTCCAGAGCGCTCACTTTTTAAAAAAAATATATATTTTATTGATTTTTTACAGAGAGGAAGGGAGAAGGAGAGGGATAGAGTTAGAAACATCGATTCAGCTGCCCTCTGCACACCTCTTACTGGGGATATGCCCGCAACCAAGGGACATGCCCTTGACTGGAATCGAACCTGGGACCCTTCAGTCCACAGGCCGACACTCTATCCACTGAGCCAAACCAGTCAGGGCAGAGCTCTCACTTTTAATCATTTTGCCAGCTTTTCCTAAACTTCCAGGAATCACATACCACTTTTTACATCTGCCATGGCCACCCATATAACATTTGCATTATTATTTTCAAATGGTTTTCTTTAAATCAGCTCACTTTATTTAATAGGATCTTTATGTTTGGGTACTAACATTATAGTTACTATAGCCAAAACCGGTTTGGCTCAGTGGATAGAGCGTCGTCCTGCGGACTGGAGGTTCCCGGGTTCGATTCCGGTCAGGGGCATGTACCTGGGTTGCGGGCACATCCCCGGTGGGAGATGTGCAGGAGGCAGTTGATCGATGTTTCTCTCATCGATGTTTCTAGCTCTCTCTCTCCCTTCCTCTCTGTAGAAAATCAATAAAATATATTTAAAAAAAAAATCTCACCTGTCCACTAGTAATATGCGTATTTGGTTGCGAGAAACGTTGCACTCTGCTAAATTATCTCCCAAAAACATTTCCTCCACCCTCCTGGCAGTTCCACATGAGAAGTGTTCATTCCACACGTCCATATACCATTCAAAAAGCCCAACACAGCGTACAAGACTATTCTTTACAACATCCCAACAAACAGCCGACCTGTCTCTGCTGGAGGCCAGGGCTGCTCACTAATTCACTTCCTCGTAAACTAGCTCATTCCACTCAGCAGGTAGAGACCACCATTTACCCATCTTTGTATCCCAGCTCAACACCTGCGGGCAAACATTTTACCTCTTACTAGAAGTTTGTTGAATGAAATAATAAACAAGTGGGATTAAAAACCTGTTACAACCCATTGGTTAAGTAGGGCAGTTAAGAGCTCTGGCAATAAACAGGCTGGACCTGATCTTCAGTCCTAACACCTAGGTCCTAGGTGCTTTCTTATAGATACTAGTTTCTTGAAATCCTACCCTACTCCCTGCTCCAACATGCCCCCTCTTTTCTGCCAATTCCCATTTTTCTTGGCTGTAACCATACCAAATTCAGACTTCCCTGGTTCACACCACGTGATTTTGAAGGTGGGGGTGATTTTTGTTATAGGTTCTCTTATTATTTTCCTCTTCCAAGTCTTTTTTAAATATATATGTGTGTGTGTGTGTGTGTCTATATATATATATATATATATATATATATATATATATATATATGTATTGATTTCAGAAAGGAAGGGAGAAATAGAAACATCAATAATGAGAATCATTGATCAGCTGCCTCCTGCATGCCCCACACTGGGGATCGAGCCGGCAACTTAGGCACATGCCCTGACTGGGAATCGAACCGTGAACTCCTGGTTCATAGGCCGATGCTCAACCACTGAGCCATGCCAGCTGGACTGTACATCTCTTTTATTTTTATTTTATTTTATTTTTTTAATTAAAAATATATTTTATTGATTTTTTACAGAGAGGAAGGGAGAGAGATAGTCAGAAACATCGATGAGAGAGAAACACTGATCAGCTGCCTCCTGCACATCTCCCACTGGGGATGTGCCTGCAACCAAGGTACATGCCCTGGACCGGAATCGAACCTGGGACCCTTTAGCCCACAGGCCGACGCTCTATCCACTGAGCCAAACCGGTTTCGGCATGTACATCTCTTTTAAACATTAATCACATACTAGTCAGTTTACTAGAGTCCAACTCTATCCCATCTTAAGCTCCCCCTCAAATATGTTTTTAGTGATTTAGAGAGGAAGGGAGAAGGGGAGAGAAACATGAACAAGAAACATCCATTGGCTGCCTCCCTGCCTCCTGTACGCACCGAACTTGCAACCTGGAAATGTGACCGTCCAGGAATCCAACAGACAAGCCTTTCAGTGCACAGGACAACGCTCAACTAATGGAGCCACACAGGCCAGGGCTATCCCGCCTCACGCTCTTTGAGGGTAGGCTGGCTCCTTATTCATCTTCGTTTTCTGTACCCAGCACAGCACTGGGCTTCAGAGCAGGGGAAACGGCACAACATGCCTCCCTAGACGGGAACTTTGGCCAAACATCTATCTCAACACAGAGGCTTCAGATGTACTCTGATGTTCAATTTGCAAAAAGTGGAAAAATTCACCTAAAGCCTGGATTTGACTTGTCTTGCCCCAAATTCTGGCAATAATGGATCTTTATTTTCACACGGCAGCCATCAGCTGGAGTTGATTAGATAGGCCCTGCTCTCCACGTTAGCGCATTCACACTTCTGTTGTCCCTAGCACAAAGACCTGGTGTTGGCTGTTAATTTCATCATCCTTTTTTCTTATAGTAAAATTAGAAGTAAACTTTCTTCCACTGATTTGTTTCACCTGAGCCCTGAATGGATTTGAGTTTTCAACCTTCTAAGCCTGTTTTCTCATCTACTAAATGCGAGATAACATTTATCTATAATTCTCTGTACATGGGGGAAAGAATGTACAGACCAGAGAACGCTGCTTGCCATGCGACACTGAAAGTGTTTGCGAAACGGCTGTTCATCTCAGGAGCTCCAGAACTACTTCAAAACCGAATGAATGAATGAACCAACGAACGAGCAGAACTAACCGACAAACGACCACATTACTGCTTTGTAAAGAGGAGACTGGTGAAGGAAATGATCGCCAAGGCATTTTTATCCATTTGTGAAGGCCATATTTTGTGTCTGGGATACCGCAGGTGCTCAGGAAATGGGACAAATTGCAGTGATTATGAATTCCATAAAAGCTGTGAATGTAGGTGAGTGAGTGACGCTGAAGTGGGATGGTCAAAAACTAATGCCTGTGGAGGTTTTGCTCTCCTTTCACCCGGCATCCAGCAGGTGCTTAATGACTGCTTGTTGAATGCGCAGAGAAACAAGGGCCCAGTTGCACGCCCTCCTCCAGGTCGCCCTCCAGGTGGCAGTGGGCCTCCTCCCCACCCTCCTGCGCCGCCCCCACCCCGCCCTTACAGGATGTCCTCACGGATGGAGGTGCCGTGGTTGAGGTTGTGGCAGCGGACGGAGACGCGGTCCCTGAGAATGAAGGAGCAACTGTTCTCCTTTTTGTAGAGGCTGAAGCACTTCCTGAAATCCTCGTAGGTCTTGAAGCAGCTGCCCAGCTCCATGGCTGCCGCCTCAGCCCACGCCAGGGAATGGCCCTAAGATCAATACCAGGGGTCAGAGGTCACACTATGAGGGTCTACAGGCTGCCGTTGGACCAGAACGCCTTCGAGCTCGGCCCCAATTGGTGGCCAGCTATGAAGCTCAGGAGCCCCAGGTCTGAGGCGGTAAAAGAGGCTGGGGTCGCCCTTGCTATCTGACTGAGGGGAAATGACGCTAATCCCTCTTTATCAAGCCCTGGATCCGCCCCTCCAATCACACACGGAATTCTCAGACTGGCACTCATTTTCTCCAATAGCTAGAGAAAGATAGCCACGCACCCGCAGACTGACAGGAGCATTGTCCAATCATAATTTGCATCCCTTATTCTCAGGGCTTGCAGACTTCCGGTTACTGGAGCGAGCTGCGGGAATCTGCGAGTTCCGCGCACGCCTCCGCGCGTCGGGTTCAGCGCAGTCTCCGGCAAGTGATCGACATGTCGTCCCCGCAGACCCCGGAGGATGGGCAGGGCGGTGGCGACCCCCCCGGGGACCTTCGCAGCGTCCTGGTCACCAGCGTGCTCAACCTCGAGCCGCTGGACGAAGATCTCTTCAGGTAGCCTGCCGCATCTGGCCCGCACCCCGCACTGGGACAGATGCTTCTGATCTCGACTGCACCACCCCGTAGCCTTCTGCTCGTAGTCTCCTGGAAGATGGGCTCTGCGTGGGATGCGGGCTCTGTCGCCATTGGGAGAGAACTTGTTCCTGACAGCTGCCCTCGCTGCCTGGGCTTACTCCCTCTCCACGCAGGGTCTGCGCAGCGCCACCCCTAGGAGGCCATGGCCCTCTGGGCAAATAAAGTGGTGACTTTAGATATCCTTCTCAGCAGCTTCCCATGTCTCTGGGAACCAGTCTAAAGAGGGGTGCGATTAGTCCAAGGGCTAATCAGGTTTAAAACGTACCCTCAGCTCCTTGCATATTCACTGTCCTTTCCCTCTTACAAAACCCATCCCCACCACCACTTGAGGTGTGGTAGCTCAGTACTCATCCTGAGGCCTGAGCCATTTTCCTTCCCCACACACCTTACATTCTTGACTGCAGCTGGGGATTTTACAGTTTGAGCCTCCAAGGCTCCTATTGGCTTATTGGGAGCTATTTAGGGTGTTAACTTCTCTTCCCCCTACTTAAGAAATTACAAATAACTTCCTGGAGGGCTATTTACAATGCACTATATAAAAATGCCTAGCTGGTTTGGGCCTTGGAAAGCCAGAGACCCAAACCCTTCAGCCTCCATAAGGTTCATGCACTCGGCAAGCCCCTTTCACCTCTGGGCCCCTAGTTTTCTCATCTGCACACTGAAGGGATTACACTTGAAGACTGAGGGCCCTTTGAGCTCTAAACCTAGTTCTTGGGTTGTCAAAGTTGGGGGGGGTGTAAGTGGCAGGCCTTGATGCAGTCCACCCTAGCTCTTGGGGCTCATCGTATCCCAAGGCCGTCAGAGGCTTCTGCCTTACCCTGGTATGGGCAGTGAAGACATAATAGACCTGGGGTCAAAAGACCCAGCTACTGCTAAGGATTAGCAATGTTTACCTGGGTGACCTTGCTAAAGTCACCTTCCCTCTCTGATCCCTATTCTCTACTAAAATATGGGGGTTGGCTCCTTAAAGTCCACAGAAGGGTTAGGCAATCCCCAAGGCCTTGAAGATGTATGCTGTCACGTAGAATGATGTAAGAATATTTGGGGAAAGGGCTTTTACCATATTCTCAAAAGGATCCCAAACTCCAATAAAGTTACGAGATCTGCACTAGAAGCTCAATGATTGTCACAGGATTTTGGCCCAACCTTAAAGTCTTTCCTGCTTTCTCTTTCTCCCCATAGAGGAAGGCATTACTGGATACCCACAACCCAGCGGCTGTTTGGGGGTCAGATCGTGGGGCAGGCCCTGGTGGCTGCAGCCAAGTCTGTGAGTGAAGACATTCAAGTGCATTCCCTGCACTGCTATTTCGTTCGGGCAGGTAAGCACCCCTTCCCCTGCCCCCAACCCAGCCCTGGAGGCCCAGCAGCCACTTCTTCCTGGCCTTGGGGGGCTGATTTAGGAGAGAGAGAGGACTGGGAGGAGACAGTGGGGGATTGAGGGTTGATCTCCATCCACAGGGAAGCCTGGAGAGGAACAAGGCCTGGGTGGAGCCAAGAAGAGCCTTAGGCCTCACAACTGCTTGTTATCTGGCCCCAAAAGACACAACACTGGCTTAACTACTCCCCGTGGGTCTTTTGTTCATTGTTTACAAACCTCTAGTAAGCACTATGCTGGAATCCTGAGCAGTGCGGTAACCTCTGCTAGGACTGTGGAGGTAGGCGCCTTGCCTTGGAGAAGGAAGAGCACCGGCCTGGGAATCCAGAGACAGTGGGTCTAGTTTCAGTACTAATTAGCCATCATGCCACCTTGAGCGAGGTTACACCCCTCCCTGAGGCTTGGTTTGCTCATCTCATCAGAAAAATGGATGAGGGCGGGACAAGAGTGTTTTCTCCAGATGATCTCAGCAGCTGCTTGCAGCTTAAAGGAGCAAGAAAGTAATCTTTTAAAACCCAGGCTCTCCTTTGAGAAACAAAAATCTCACTTGCTATCCCTCCCTTTCCCTCACTCCTAAGGCAGATGTCCCCAATTTTAAGAGTCACACTGCCTTCTGCATAGTCCCATCAGCTGAGAAGAATGTATGGAACTTAACAATATGTGATTCATATTAAGAAAACAATAGTGAGGTTTTCCCCTTCCTTTTACAAATATAAAATATAGTGTGTGTGTGTGTGTGTGTGTGTGTGTGTGTGTGTGTGTATAATCTCTTACCTTTAAGCCAATTGGGGGCAAAAGTGTCCTCTATTTCTTCAATTTGGTTGCAAGCCCCAAAGTGCTAGCCTTTTGATATTGCAATCCTTCTGTGTCCCAGATATTATGCTAACCACTTTACAATTATGATCTCATTCTTATAAAAATCCTGAGAGGTATGAACACCATGATGATCCTCATTTTATAGACGGGTAAACTGCTCAGAGAGGTTAAGTGTCTTTGGTAAGGTCACACAGCTAATTAGCTAGGATTTGAATGCAGGGTATCTGGCAATGTCCCTTCTGTTCTGCGCTGTTGAGAAAGAAGAGTTCCACTTGTACTGAGAGCATCCTTATGACACGGTCTGGTGTTCTCTCTGTATCTGCAGTACACGGACCTTAGCAGGCCTCAGTCAGTAGCTACCAAGCAGAAAAGGAATGGAGAACGAGTAGCAGAGGTGCCTGTCCGGCCATGGTGATGATGACAGGCTCACTGTGGGGCTCACTCAGCCTCACCATGTCCCTGTGTCCCCTACAGGGGACCCGAAGGTGCCAGTTTTGTACCAGGTAGAGCGGACACGAACAGGGGCGAGCTTCTCAGTGCGCTCAGTGAAGGCCGTGCAGCATGGCAGGCCCATCTTCATCTGCCAGGCCTCCTTCCAGAAGACCCAGCCCAGCCCCCTGCAGCACCAGTTCTCCATGCCCTCGGTGCCCCCACCGGAAGAGCTGCTTGACTACGAGACCCTCATTGACCAGTACTTAAGGTGAGAGACCGGGAGGCTCAGGACAGTGTTCAGACTGCAGTTGCTTCCTGTTCGTGGGTCATGAAATCCTTCAGTGTGTCTTGACTACTTAAAAATATGGACTAGGAAAGATGATATTGGAATGTATTGTGTATAGTAAAGGTAAGAATCCCTTTGTGATAGGTTAGGTTCAGTTGTGTGTGGGTCAGGATGTAAAATGCGGGCTTATGATTCAGCCAATTCAGGTACAGTAGTTTTACTGGTTGTTAAAATATTGGACTACTACTTCTTTTTTTTTTTTTTTTTAACTACTTGGCAAATACTCACCTCTCTAGTCCCTGAGTGACTACCCCTTCAAGGTCACATGATCCGGCAGCCTAGGAGGTAATGCCTGGCAGGGTGAGGGTTCCTGCTGCCTTTGCCTTAGTGTGTGTGAAATATTTTAAATGTCACCTGGTAAAATATATCTCTTACTTAGAGCACAGTTGATAAAGTCAGGGAAATGCCAGGGCAAGAGAAAGAGCTCTGGCCTCTGACAGGACAGACACATGGATTCTGGCCAGGGCTGTGCTCTGTTAGCGCCCATTTGCTCTGGGACTCTGCCCAACTCCCCAGCCTCTCAGAGCCCTGCTTCTTCATCTGAAAAATGTATGTTTCTGCCCCGCCTACCTCTCAGCTGTATGAGGGAGAGTGCCTCGGTCTTTGCTGGCTGGGGAGGCAGCAGGGTGTGATGGGGCAGGTGTGAGTTTGAACCTGGGAAAGGTCTAGGTTCAAATCTAGACTGTCTCTGCTAGCTGTGTGAGTTTGGGCAAGTTGCTTTCCCACTCTGAGCCTGTGCCCTCAATTATAAAATAAGGCACTTAAGTGTTCAGTAAATTGTAGTTATACAGTTGACTGACAGGAATAAGCTTGGAGCCTGGTTTATGGTCGGAGCTTAAAAATGTTTGCTGTAATGTTCTTAAAGGTCCCTAAATCTAGAGCTGTGTTGTCCAGTAAGAAAGCCATTAGCTACACAGGATTAAATTAATTAACACTAGGTAGAATTAATAGTTCTGTTCCTCGCTATTAACCACACTAACCACATTGCAAGCACTCAGTAGCCACATGTGGCTAGTGGCTACTGCCGTGGACAGTGCAGATACAGAACATTCCATCATCCCTGAAGGTTCTATGGACAGTGCTTGAGAGGATAGGGCTGAAAATGGAAATCCTGGTGCGCACTAGGGTGGCTGTTACTGGGTGAAGGGGCTTCCCTGGAAATGGCTCTTTTCCCCATGGACACAGTGTTCCCAATTGCTTAGGGTTAGGTAACTCAGTCCCAGTTGGGCAGCCTGGTTGCCAAGTGTTTGGAATAGTGAAGTGGTTAAGAGTATGACCCGAATCAGGCTGCCTGGGCCCAAAGCCTGCCTTTACTTCCTCAGCAAGCTACTTGGACTCTGTGCTTATTTCATGTCATCGGGGGAGGGGGGGTGACCATTGCAGCTGTCTCACATGGTTGTTGTAAGGAATGGGTTAATGTGGGTGAAATGCTTAGAACGGTACATATTGGGCTGCGCCTCATGACTACATGCATTATCTTGTCTTCTCCACGGTGTTTATTTATCAGGTAGGTTACTGTCATTATCCACATTTTGCAGATGGGAAAATAGGCTCAGAGAGATTACTAATGTGCAGAAGGCCACATAGCTCATAAGAGGCAAAGAGTGGCTTCAAATAGTTGACGCTTCTGCCTGCCAGAGGAGAGGGAGACTTTCAGGCTAAGTCTGGACTCCTTCTGGAGGAAGGAGGGGAGTCAGAATAAACAGTTCCGAAGATAAGCTTCCCCTCTCTGTGGGTCTCCTCAAGTCCCTCAACCCTTTACTTTCAGGGACCCTAACCTCCAAGAGAAGTACCGAGTGGGCCTGAACCGGATTGCTGCCCAGGATGTGCCCATTGAGATCAAGCTAATAAACCCATCCAGCCTGAGCCAGCTGCAGAACATGGAGCCCAAACAGATGTTCTGGGTGCGAGCCAAGGGCTATATTGGTAAGAGGACCTCCTGGACTGGAAGAGAACACTCTCCAGGGGTCTAGGCCTGCATATTATTTGCTCTGTGTGGCCTTGGGCATGTTACTTCCCCCCTCTGGGCCTATTTCCTCATCCCCATGATGGGGAATTTGGCTCATCTTCTCACCGGGGCCCTACTAGGCCTTTGCATGGGGAGAATGGGAGGTGACTGTAATCCTAATGTAGGCCCTTTCTGGGAAGGGCAGGCACACTGCTAATCTTAAGGTGCCTGTGTGGGAGATTTGGGGAGTGAGGGCTCCATCCCTGCGTCCCTCTCCCCCATCACATACACCTTGGGCCAGGTGCCCTCGTGCAGTGAACAGTCTGCATAGCTGTGCACGGCAGCCCCTGTCTCCCCCACCTCCCTGCAGGTCCTGAGCTGTAGAGGCCAGGAGCCCAGGGCTGATGGGACCGGGACCTATTGCAGGGGAGGGCGACATCAAGATGCACTGCTGCGTGGCTGCCTATATCTCAGACTATGCCTTCCTGAGCACAGCGCTGCTGCCCCACCACTGTCAGCATAAGGTGCACTTCATGGTCTCTTTGGACCACTCCATGTGGTTCCACGCCCCCTTCCGAGCTGACCACTGGATGCTCTATGAGTGTGAGAGCCCCTGGGCTGGTGAGTGTGGGGCCACAGGGGACAAGGGCACTGGCCTTGGGGTGGCAGGGAGCCTGCTTTCTTGGGTCATGCTGTTCCCCACCCACATTCTATGGGGCACTGCACAGGTCACTTTCTCTCCTGCCCCCCCTAGGCTTTGGCATCCTTATCTTCAAAATAACAGGGTGAGGCCAGAGGACGGGACACATAATCAGCTCTTAATTTCTGTAACTGCTGGGAATATGGTCTACTTTATCTCAGAGACCCCAGTTCTAGTCCCAGAATCACTTCAGAATCTCTGTCTGATCTTGGACAAGTCCTATCTCCTCCCCGAGCCTCAGTTTCCCCATTTATTTTTTTAAAAATATATTTTATTGATTTTTTACAGAGAGGAATAGAGAGTCAGAAACATCGATGAGAGAGAAACATCAATCAGCTGCCTCCTGCACACTCCCTACTGGGGATGTGCCCGCAACCAAGGTACATGCCCTTGACCGGAATCGAACCTGGGACCCTTGAGTCTGCAGGTCGACGCTCTATCCACTGAGCCAAACCAGTCAGGGCAGTTTCCCCATTTAAATAAACAGTTGTATTAGAGGAGTAGCCAAACCTGGTGGCCACTTCAGGGAGCTTTTTAAAAATTGATTTTCAGATTCTAAGATTCTGACTCTGCAGGTCTTAGAAGAGGTCCAGGAAACTATATTTTTAAGAAGCTCCCTAAGTGATTCTGCCGATTACCCTGGTTGGCTCAGGGCACTCTACGGTTTCTAAAGGAACCTCTGCTGGGACACTCCTCATCAGAGACATAGAGAATCCCAGGCTCGTTCATCAATGTCTGCTGCCAGGGCCCTGGATTCCTTTCCAAAGAAGTACTTTTCAAATGAAAACTGTTTTGTAAAACAGAGACAAAACTTAAGGGGCTCTTTATACTCAGGGAAGGGGGACTCTTACGTACCAATAGCATCAAAAATAAACAAAACAAGCAAACTAACCAACAAACAAAAAGTACCAATAGCATCACAATACAGGATCAACAACCTTGAAGTTAGGATACTTGGTTTTGGCCTGATTCTTATGGCCAAGTTCCTGCACCTCTCTGAATTTTAAGCTCATCATCCAGGAAAGGGGACAAACCCTTCTTCACTTGGCTGTTGTGAGGACTAAGTGAGCTGTACTACATGGAAGGGACCCGGCACCAACTCAGGCCCGAGGCTGACAAGGGAGAGGAAATCTGCAGGTGCGGAGGAAGGGGTGGCCAGACTTCATGGCCCCAGGTCCTCTCCCTTGAGCTCCTTTGTCCCCTCGGGGTTGGGGTGCTTTTCATATGATACCACCCTGGAGGGACTGGTTTGATTTATTATAAAGGGAACTGATGGGTTTCCTAACACAAGTGGCCAGAGGCCGGTAGATCTGCTTAGCCAAGCTACTGATGGAGACTGTTCTCAGAACTCCCACTCTGTGATTGTGAGGAAGCCCGAGGACATGTAAAGTGCTTTTAAACTGTTCTGTGGGGTTCCCATGGCTACCCCATGACTGAACACGTTAGGCTCATAAAGGGGCACAATACGCAGTGTGCCCTTGTGTGGGGCAGCCCAACTTGGACTGCACCCTTCTTAAGAAGCCCGCTTGGCTGTGCTAAAGGAGAGAGAAGGCTGTTCTTACCCTTCTCACCCACAGGTGGCTCCCGGGGGCTGGTCCGTGGGCAGCTGTGGCGTCGGGACGGGGTGCTGGCTGTATCCTGTGCCCAGGAGGGCGTGATCCGAGTGAAGCCCCCGGTCACAGAGAGCAGGCTGTAGCCAGAGGTACCAGCTTGGCCTGGGCTTCAAGGATCTCCCTTCTTCCCCCACTCCTGAGGCTAGGCAGGAATTACAGTTGAGGGCTGGGCTTTGTCCCTCACCCAATAAAGAGGCTGCTACCACTGGACCTGCTGGCCTTTCTTCCCTGGGCCAGAACTGCAGCCTTCCCGCCAGCCATCAACTCCAAGACTCCCGAGTCCTGGCCCTTAGTCGTCTCCTTCACTGGCTTGGAGGCCCAAGGAAAAGGGAACACTGACCCTGGCCTGGGGCATAGCCCCAGCTGTGCATTTGCTGAAGAGAGTGCATCAGACTTCCTCCCTGCACCATCCCAGGTCCCAGGCATCCCCATCCAAAGCTTTTCCTGGGCCCAGCCCAATAGAAGAGCCACGTTTCCTCTGTCTGCTACAAATTCTTTGTGTTACTCCTAGGGGTTCCCAACACCTCCTACAGCCTCCCAGCTGCTGTTCAGGTCCTCATCCTTCATCGGTCCCCCACCGCTGCATCCTGGGGCAGTGCCTCTCCCCAGGGTAACCTTAAGTCTAGGCAAGATTAGTCCAGTACCTCCTTGATGAGCAATTCTTTGAGACTGGGGGGTGGCGTGGGGGTCAGGCCTGCCTCCTGCAGGACCTGGAGCCGTGCCTCTGATTGGCGTTTATCCAGGCCCAGGCGCCAGGAGAGCCGGACATGGGCCTCCAGAAAGGGTGCTAACAAAGGATGGGGGCTCTTGTCCCCCAGCAGCTGAAGGGCCCTCTCACAGCATGCCCGGGCCTCCCCAGGGTCCTCCATCTCCTGGTGGCACACAGCCAGCCCAGCCAGGGTCAGCAGAGGGCGATCTGGGCTGGAGAGGGTGCCCAGCTGGGCCTGAAGCTGCCAGGCATTGGCCCAGAGCGCCAGAGCCTCACGGTAGAGGCCAGTGCAGGTGAGGCTCTGTGCCCTCCGCAGCTCCGGCAGCACGAAGAAGTCCTGTAGGTCTGGGGCATGGCGCAGCTCGGGGACTGCCTGCAGGTGGCTCAAAAACTGCTCAAAGGCCCGGCTGCGGCGGGCAATGGTCTCTGCAGTGAAATTCCGGCGCAGGCGCTTACGGGGGAAGGAGATGGCAGCCATGGGGCCCCGGAACTGCCGCTGCAGGTTTCGGTGCAACCGCTCAAAGTCTGAGTAACGGCGAGAGATGTGGGCTGGCTGGTGATCTGGTGGCCCTGGCCCCATCACGGCGAGGGTGTAGAGCTGCAGGGAGGGTGGGGGTCAGGGCAGGTGCAAATTGTCCAGGGGCCCCTTCCTTCCCCATACCCACACTTCCAGCTCTGTTGCCCCCCCCTTCCCTTTACCCCTAAGATTGGGCCCAGGAAGGTGGGAGCTGCTAGGGCAGCAGCTAGGGAGCCCAGTCCATCTTACCTGAGGCTCGTCTGAAATGACCCAGGCCCAAGGCAGCACGGGGAGAGAAAGACAGAGATGAACTTCAGTGCCTGGAGCTGCTGCCCTTTTGCCCTTCCAGAAAGTACTCCCTTCCTATTAGGGCAGTTAGCTCTTCTGACAGCCCCTCCGGAAAACCAGGGGTTCGTGGAAACCCAGGCCAATTAGCCTCTGAGCCAACGTTTAGGAGCTTTGTTCTACTCTTGACACAGAGCTCCCACATCCCTAGCCAGGTTATTCCAACCCAGACCTGGAAGACAGGTCTTCAGACACCCCAGGAATGACCACGTGAAAAGTACAATGGCTCAGACTCACGTTCTAACCCCAGGCCAGCTACTCCTCACTGTGAGTGACATCAGCCAAGGCAGTCCCCCTCCAGTCAGTTCCTTCTCTAGTGGATGACCTGTTGGCCCAGGTCAGTGTTTACTCAGGTGTGGGATGTGTACAAATGTTAGTCCTGAGGTTTTTAGGAGGTATGTGCTGGAGTAATAACACTGAATCACAGGCAGGAGGTGATTCCCCCCTAGTCCTCTTTGACTCTTTCTGACTGCAAATTGAGCACTTTCACACGGCTCAGCTCCATTTTCAGAAAAGAACCAGGAAATGGATCTTGGGTCAGGGCCTTCGGGCAACAGCATCCAGGCAGGGCTTAATGACTTTTTCACTGCTTTTATTTTTACGGGTATCTTCTCTTTATGGCAAGTGAAGCTTTCCACATACAGTATGCTATAAAGTTGTCTTTTAAACTTACTTAAGAAAAAGATTTCTTTAAATAAAAATGTTAAACAGAGACTGGTACAAGCAGCATTCAGATGGGACAAGAATTGTGAAGGTGGTACTGGAATTGAGGTTTGGGGAAGAACACTGAAGGAGATCACCATGAGACTTCCCCCAGGTCTGAGAACCCAAACATGGATTAATCTATAAGAATGCTAAGCCGCCGAAACCGGTTTGGCTCAGTGGATAGAGCGTCGGCCTGCGGACTGAAAGGTCCCAGGTTCGATTCCGGTCAAGGGCATGTACCTGGGTTGCGGGCACATCCCCAGTAGGAAATGTGCAGGAGGCAGCTGATCGATGTTTCTCTCTCATCGATGTTTCTAACTATCTCTCTCCCTTCCTCTCTGTGAAAAATCAATAAAATATATTTAAAAAAAAAAAATGCTAAGCCAACAGGTTTAAAAAGGGGATTAGGGAACCTCCTTTAGTATGTTAAAGGCATACTAACAACAAACCCAGATGTTTTTCTCGAATTTGTTCTGTGAAACTACCAGTATTATAGCCACCTCTGGTCAATTAGGTTTGCCTGTTCTATCCTTTTCTCAGAGATTCACAGTATACTTTAATATTAAGGATTAAAAAGTCAAACAGTAAAGGAATTTTATTTTACTCTTCAACTCTGCATTCCCAAAACATAATGACTGCAAAATCTTTCTTTTAAGGAATAGTTATTAACATTCCAGGAAACTTGTTTTCTTTTTTGTTAATCGTTACCCGAGGATATTTTTCCATTGATTTTTAGAGATAGTGGGAGGGTGGGAGAGAGATGGAGAGATAGAAACCAGGTCCAGGGATGTGGAGCCTGCAACCGAGGTACGTGCCCTTGACCAGAATGGAACCTGGGACTCTTCAGCCTGCTCTATCCACTGAGCCAAACGGCTAGGGAAGAAAACCCATTTTCTGTAGAACACACTTCAGTAAGAACTGGTCTATAATGATCCCTTATGTTACTTTGGCTTTGATTTTTATTTTTTGGCACCAAACCATTTTATATCCATTATCTCATCTGTGTTGTGCATGGACCTACAAACCAGGAGGTCACAGTTTGATTCCTGGTTGGGGCACATGCCCAAGTTTCGGGCTCATTCCCTGGTTGAGAACGTGTAGGAGGCAGCTGATCAGTGATTCTCATCATTGATGTTTCTGTCTCTCCCTCTCCCTTACTCTCTGAAATAAATACAAATATATTTTAAAAAATAAAACATAAAAAGACATCCCCCTAAGCCACAGAGCTGGGAAATGGCCCAGCTGGGATTTAAAACCAGGCTGACCTAACTCCAAAGCCTGTGCTCTAACCCCCGAGGAGAAGTTCAATCAGAATTTAGGGTCCCCTCTGCACAAAGGAGGTGATTTGTTTCCCCAGACACTGGCCAGGGCATACTTGGCCATCCTGCTCCCAGAGTCATCCCCATACTGCCTTGTTTCGCAGCTGCTCCTTGATAATTGATCCTTGGGGTCCCCTTCTATGCATGATGCCTGGCCAGGACTTTTGCCACTTAAGACTTGATTATCAATCCCTGCTCAAATCGAGGCAGTCACCCCGTGGGTGTGGCCCTTGTTTACTAGTAGCAGCAGGGAGGGGTGGAGAGGTCCAGATGTGGGACAGGGCTCCAGGCCCCTTCCTGCTGAGTCAGAAATGGAGGAGGGTGGTGAGGAGGAGGGAAGTGAGAGGAAGGGAGCTGCTGCCGCCAGGACCAGCCAGGTCAGACTGGGTTTCAGGCTGGCCGAGAGAAGACCTGGCAGGCTTCACTTTCTATGTCAGTTTCTCCTTTCCACAGAGAAGAAACAGGGACTCCAGATTCTCCCCCACATTGCTCTTCACTAAACCCCCCTAAATGGAGCCCTTACAACAAGATTATTCTGTGCAGGATGGGTGCTTGAGAACTGACTGACCTGGGTTGTAAGGAGGCCACAACAGGCCCTAGATGCCAGGCATTTTCAATCCAAAGGTAAGTAATAATAAGGGAGCTAATTTTTTATTTTATTATACATTTTCTTTGAGCACTTCATAATGCCAGGCACAGGGCTAAGGGCTTTCTGTGCACTGTCCCATTTAATTCCTGTGACTGTTCTTGGCATTATTCCCATTACTCAGATGAGGAAAAGGTCATAAAGGTTACACAACTCACCCAAGGTCAAACAACTGGGACTTAAATCAAGTTCTGCATCCAAAACCCATTAAAAAAACAACAACAAACACTAACCAATGCCACTTGGGTCTCAAACCTGATCCACATAATAGTCTTTCCTCTGTACCTTGCATCTTGCTACATTTTGCAAAACCTTGGGGGGGGGGGGGCGGCGTAGGGGCACACACACCAGTTCTTATTTTCAAAACGAGGAGAGGAGACAGGCCCACAATCCTTTTTTACTCAGTCTCAAAGAAGCTGTCAATGGGGATGTAACTTGCTCAAGTTACATCCCCATTCTGCCCTCAGTTTCTCCATCTGTAAAATGGGGGCAGCCACTTACAACTACACAGCCAGGAAGTTGGAATCTTCCCTACTTTGTCTTAGATAGACTTGTAGACTCACAACCAGGGGTTCCTGAACCCGCACTCACCACGTACTTGGAAGGGGGGTCCTTGACCACGTTGGCACTGGTCACCTCGAAGAGCAGCCGCTGGGGCACCAGGGTGTTCCGGGACTTCTTCCAGAAATCCTGCAACTGCCGTGCCAGGAGCTGACTGCTCCGCTGCCCATCGGGAGAGGGGTTCTGTTCTGCATGAGCACATGACCAGTCCCATCAATAGGCCTGGGGCCGGGGTCGACATACACCATGGGCCATGACCTCACGCCTCCCAACAGGTGACAATAGCTTTATCCCCATTCGTCATAAATGGAAATTGAGGGCCAGAGAGAGGCTGGATGCCAAACGCCGTGCTTGGCAGAGAGTAGGCGCTAAATAAATATCTCCACCCCAAACATCCCTAGCGCATTC